GGGTGGAGCATATTTTGATTTTAATAATACTAATAATAGTTTGCTTGTCGTTCTTAACAATGATTGATTACAAAACAAAACTTTTATGTCTTTTCAAGTTGTTGGGCGGTAACGAAAGATAAAAAAATAAAGATTTTATTTTAATTTATTGATATGTTTTATAAATGATTTATCGCTAGTTTCCACCTCATCTAAAACTCATAAATCAGTGCATTTACCACCGCTGGATGGTGTAAAATCTTTTAGAAAATAAAAAATGAAGTCTTTACTGCGCCCTACTGGCCGCTGGATGCTAATCCTCTCACTGTTTTCTCTGTTCCCGGTTGACACGGAATTTCAGCAACGAAAGCATTTGGAAAGGAGTTTAAATGTACAGTATTCGTATAGATGAATAACCCACGTTAAATGGTTGTTAGTTGTTTAAAGATGTAGATGTATAGAATTACACGAATCAAATGTAACTTCATATATCCGATAGTTGTGTTGGTGAATGATACAATCACAAGTGTGTCGCAAATGGACTGTCAACCTCGAGGAGGGCGAGGAAACCGAAATGAAGAGGTGAATTTATTACTTTTACACAAACATTTACTATGGTAATCACAATTTTAGCATAATTATTTAATATAAGTTCTTATTTAACAAGTGTATGCTTTTGTCTTTTTTTGTTTGTTTTGTTTTATATTTCAATCTGTGCACAGATATGAATTATATTATATTTCTATTTTGCTTCTTTCAGAGCAGAGATGTGCGTCTGTCTAAATCACTGTCTTATGCATTACGCCACGGTGCCAGTAAGATGGGTCTGCAGATGAACTCGGGTGAGAGATGAGATCCATAAACTAGTGTAGGATTGATGATGATGATTGTACACCCACATGAGAACACCCACCCTGTCTGCTTACAGAATTGTTATGTAGGTATTTTGTGTGAGCATAGGATGATTACTGTTGTTGTTTGACAAGAAAACAAATGATTCATTCATAAGTTATTATTCCTTGGATTTAGTTTTTTTATGATCCCTGTTGTCCGTCTGTAATTGTGACCTTGTCCACAGATGGCTTTGTATTTGTGGAGGAACTACTTGCTCATAAGCAGTTCCACTCGTTTTCACTGGAGGATGTGGAGCGAGTGGTGGCCACCAACGACAAACAGCGATTCAAGCTTTGCCACCACCCTGAGGATGGTCATCTTCATATACGAGCCAATCAGGGTCACTCAGTGCAGGTCAGTTTGGTTCAGAGGTCATGCAAAGTCTACAATCTTAATTTTAGAAATAGGTTTTTAAAAAATTGGAGATAGTCACTGGAGCAATTGCTTGACAAGTCTGCATAAGTTGATAGATGTTGTTACACAATGTGTCTCTTCAAGGTTACAGATCTGGAGTTAAGAGCAGTAGCACTTGATGATCCAGACTATCCAAGAGAAGCTGTTCATGGCTCATATATGAAACACTGGCCCTCTATACGCAGTCAGGGCATCAGCAGAATGAACAGAACTCGCATACACCTGGCGCCCGGGCTTCCTGGAGATGGCAGAGTCATCAGTGGTGAGTAGCATGCAGATTAAATTAATTTCTAGAAGTCTTTATTTCATGAGAGTTATAAATATTTATTTACTTATTTATTTAATTGGTACAATTAGGATAGCAGAAAGCAGTCCAGACCAAGACTATGTGTACAGAATATGCAAATATAATTTTTAAATGTAATTTTAATATATAAATTGATTATTTAGTGATGCAAATGGCCTCTTTTCTGTTTTTAGGTATGAGACAGAGTTGCGATCTGGCTGTGTACATTGATGTTGCAAAAGCTATTTCAGGTATCAAGAAATCATAAAAAGCTATTTAAAGTTGAGTAAGTAGCAATGTTAGTGCTGAAGTGCTAATGATCCCTCTGGTTGATGTTCAGATGGGATTCAGTTTTTTTGGTCGGAGAATGGCGTACTCCTGACCCCTGGAGATGCTGCTGGGATGTTACCGCCATGCTATTTCTCTCGAGCACAAAGACTAAAACCCTCACGTGAGTCACATTCACAGCCAGCTCATCAAGTTTTACTGAACTCCTAAAGACCGTTCAGAAAGATTCATTTCTGTTCTGTATGACTGTAACATACCGTACATGCATTTGATATTGTACAGTGCAGATTGGTGATAATTAGATTTTAAAGGGGTCATATGATGCAATTTCAAGTTTTCTTTTCTCTTTGGAGTGTTACAAGCTGTTAGTGAATAGATAAGATCCCTAAAGTTGCAAAGACTAAAGTCTCAAACCCAAAGAGATATTCTTTATAAAAGTTGAGACTCGTCCACGCCCTCCTAAAACACCTCGTTTAAACACGCCCACATCTACGTCACTGTGTGGGAAGATTTGCATAACACTGCCCAAATTTTCACGTAAAGAAAGAATGCGTAACTTAATTGATTCTCGCTGTAGTATTGTTGTTGCCGCCGCAGCCGCCGCCATGTCGTGGAGACGCTGTGTGTTTTGTTGTGAAAGTGAAACTACTTTGTTTGGTCTTCCAAAAGAGGACACAACTACAAATCAGTGGTGAAGTTGTATTTACAACACTGTTCCAGAACAGTTCAACCCAAATATTCGTGTGTGCAGCGCATTTTATGGAGAACTGTTTCCTGAACCTGGGAAAGTAGCCTGCAATGCCGTCTACACACAAAGGCTGTTTCTATAAAGTGGGGCAGTTCCAAGTTTGCAAGGACAGTCTGGCGCTTCTGACTCACAGCCTGTAAGTACATTTTTATATTTAAAGAATTTGCCACTGACGATTCAAGCACGAGTTTTGAGCAGTGTACAGTAGCGCTTGTTGTTTGTCGTTTCTCCGATCACAAATGCAGACATGGTGTTATGTTTACGCGGCACGATATGCAACGCAACGTGTAAAAAGACAGTATAAGTCATTATAATCAGTAATTATGTCCCCACTGGATGCAACAAATGCCTTGTTTATAATGGGTTTTAATGTGCCGGGACACGGCATCACAGTATGTTAAGGGGCGTTTCCGTCACACACTTGAGGTATTCGGCCAATCACAGCGCACTGGATAGCTGGCCAATCAGAGCACACCTCGCTTATCAGACCGATGAGCTTTGTAAAAATCGACGCGTTTTAGAAAGGCGGGGCATAGAGGAGAAACAATAATGTACGGTATGTGGAAAATAATGTGTTTTTTTAACCTTAACCCGCATAAACACATTGCATTACACCAAAAACACAAAATTATGTTCTTTTTAGCAAAGTCATATGACCCCTTTAAGAGATCATAAAGGATTGTTTTTCTTTTCTTTCAGCTTGTGAAATTGAACTACATTAGCTGTTGAAGAGGATCTCCTTCTGAACTTAAAACAAAAATGGAGATGTACATTTTACTTTTCGAATGCATTAAAGTGGAAGATCTGTTTCGAAGAAATAATAAAAAATTTCAATAGCACGATTAGGCCATATTATTTATTAACAGGGTTGATTATACTCTGACATCAAAAGATAGAAATGGAAATAATTGAGATTACATGCACCCACAGATGACTTTGGGAAGAATTTATGGGAAGACAAGGACTGATTGTCTTTTTTTGTGCCTCTAACCTCATATAAAACTGCTGTGCAGTTGGACAAGTGTGAGCTAACCTGCTTTGTTAGATTGAGTCATGATGTTATCCAGGAAATTTCCAAGGGAATAGTTGCAGTGCAGTATTAGAATCAATGCATTGAAATGCACTTTTACTATGCAATTATATTATTTCTATCTCCAAACAAGGACAAAATCAGAATTTCCTGCACAACATATATTATGGAGTCAGTGGCATATCTAAAAGGTTACGTGGTGTTTTGTATACAAATTGTCAAGTGACCTCCTAAGCCTGTTTTATTTGTGGGGCAGTTTCTACCCACTGCATATTTGTCAAAAAATAGAATATCTAAATACACTGAGCTCAAGATAGAAATGTGTCATGTGTCTGCAGGGGGATTTCTGCAAGCATATTTATGTACAGTGTGCTAGATAACAGTGTGCTGGAGACATATAACACACAAAGGTGTTTTTTTTTTGGTTGGCTTCTGTGCAATTAATCCTGTTTGTGTTCTGTAAAAGCACACCACCTTTCAGTCAAAGGGATTAAATGGCAGGTGGCTCCATGAGAATGCATTTCTCTAGCTTTATTTCATAGTCATTAAAAATTTTGTTTTGACTGTCCATTAGCTGATCAAAGGCCTATTCTTGGTATTGTCAAGCTGCTGTGCTTTTGGATCTCTGTCAGTAGTGTGGTGTGAACACTAAATCTCCGCATCGCAGAAGTGCTCGGCATTCTTTCCCTATAAGACAATGGACTAGTCTGTAACCACATGAAACAAATATACTTTGATGCACTGAACAAAGGGCAGTAAAATATGGAAAGAAGATAGCTAATGTCACAAGTTCAAGTGGCCAGTAGGTTAAATCACTTATGTTTTTATGCATTTTTTTTTTTTTTACTAAATTTTAATTTAAATATATAATTTTAAATTGGCAGCATTTTCAAGCTCAAAGCAAAGAATCACTTTCCCAAACTTAAGTTTAAAAAAAACAAACATTGCATCTCTTCAGGATGAATTACTTATGCTGTAGTCCTCATTTACAGACTTCTAGTTGTAAGGAAGAGTTTTCAAGAACTGGATGTTGCAATCTAACACTAAAGTTCAATTGGTGTGTACTTTGTAAAACTGTCATTTTGTGTCCTCTGTCGTCTCTAGGCAGCCTCTCAAAGCAAAGTTTCCCCTTATAGAAGAGGTCTAAAATTAGTGAGCCCCTATGACTGTCTTGGCCTAGTATGTCAGATTCCATTCAGACTCCGTCTATCCTATCACAGCACCTGCTCCTAGCTGTAACACCCTTTTAAGCTTGGCGGAGAAATGCACCTATGTCCAACCATGATTAAAAAAGCTTCAGGTCAGGTTCATCTTTTACTTTTTTTGTGCATGCTTGTCTCTTTTTTTAAAAAGTGGTGTCAATTAATGTTTGAAATAGCTGGGCTCTGTGAGCTCAGACAGGCCCAATGGTACAGGAGTCGTAGCAATTTTTTTGGACTTAGCTTGAGGGGCTGGACATATCTGTGCACTGAGTGGTGATGAATGGCCAGTTTGGCACTCGTAACCACAGTTGGAGCCTCATTCACAGCTCATGGTACACTGCATAACTGTCCCCTGTGAATGCTCTCTGAAGGGGCTGTTTCATTCAAACTGGCCATATGGAAAACAGCAGAAAAAGGCAAGTATCTGATGAGTTTTATGTGAACTTTGATATCTGCATGTATGTTATAACATGTTTTACACCGGCAAAGTTACTGTATATATTTTTGCATCAGTAAGTTTGCACTGAGTTATGTCTGTCAATGGTCATAAGAGTAATCCTCTAATTTTATAAGTGATACTGTTTACTATTATTAAGTACAGTTTTGTATAAGCACACTGTATTTTGTTTGGAAGAGACACATTTGTTTAAATTAACTATAATTTCTAATAGACTGTCGCTTTTAGAATCTTTGTATAAATCTACAAAAAAACATTTTCTATAGACTTCTTAAGATTTGTCATGAGAATTATTTAATTCTTACATTAAGTTTTCATGATTGTTTCTTTTGAGTTTAGGCATTTATAAAAGGCTCAAGTGACACAACCCAATGTCTGTGGTATCTGAAGTGAAGAAATGGAATGCTGGGTTCTAGAGGGAGACAGCTACTCATTTCTTCGCAGTGCTCCACACACGTTCAACCTGCAAAATTGTGAAGGGCCAAATCGTGTGGAGATCTTTGACATCACTTCAATCCCCAGCCATCGTAATGCCATATCTGAAACAACCTGCCTGTGTGACATTTTTGGGGATGACTGCGAGTCTCCGTCACTTTCCAGTAGCCCAGCCTCTGCCGCATTTATCAGGAGGGAAGTGAATCAGTCTTTTCCAGCAGATGATACCAATGACTCTTCAGGATCCTATCACACTGCCAATGGATCTGACTTAAGCGACAACACTGAAGTCACTTACAACACACCTTCTCCAGAAAATATCCAAAATTTTTCCACATCTGAGACCAGGGAATCACGTTCACCCCCAGCTGAATCAACCATCTTGTCTGATTCCAATAATGGACTTAAACCACAAGACTGCACACCACCTGCATCAAAAGTCAATGGTAATGACCTTTCACATACAGATAACTGGGAAGAACCACAAGCGTCAGTGAACAATGCCCCAGTGAATGAAATGGGAATCACAAATGCATCTGAACCACAGTATGTGAATTCAACAACAGCTACTACCCTGATTAATCCAGCAAATGGACCTTCTAATACTTCATCCTGCTCTTCAGAAGAGAAAGAACCTGCTGTTTTTGAGCAAGAAGGAATTATTAAAACACCTCAACATACAAGTACAAGCCCATTTTTAGATAAACAAATATTTGAATCAGACTCAGAATCAGACAAAGAGAGTATGAACTATCGAAGTCCACAAGAGCAAAACATTCTCTTTGCACAAGGGACAGTGAACAGTGGCTCTACATCAGAACTGTCAAACCCTTCTCCAACAGATTGCAGCCCTATGCAGGAAATGTCTACTTCACATTCAAACAGAGATATTTATTTTCTACCCATACCCAGTATCATGCCACAGCCCAGATTAACCTCCACTTCAACTGTAAGCAGGGAATCTACCTCCACACCTGCATCCACAAGTAGATCTACACCTGAGCTGCTGAATTTGTGTCCAACTCAAGTTAGGAATGCATCAGAGTCTCCAAACTTGGAGAACACTTATGGTGCTTCTTTATCTGTATCTACACTTCATACCAGTGATAATGTGAAAATAGATTCTCTAACTGTGTCTGCCATTTCTACTGAAACAAGAGGAATGGTAAATTCATCCATAGATGGTAGAGAAAGACTGAAATCACCTGAGATCAATGAAACCTGCTCTTCTCCTGAGCACTCAGCACCTGCTTACTCACCAGAACCAGTACTGATTCACTCCCCTGTGGGTTACACCATCAGCCCATCACCTACATGTGAGAAAATTGTTTCTTCAATTGAACCTGAAGATTCACCATCCTCCCCTTTATTACCTGAAATCAATGAAACCTGTTCTTCCCCTGAGCACTCACCACCTGCTCACTCACCAGAACCAGTACTGATTCACTTCCCTGTGGGTTACACCATCAGCCCATCACCTACATGTGAGAAAATTGTTTCTTCAATTGAACCTGAAGATTCACCATCCTCCCCTGTATTACCTGAGATCAATGAAACCTGCTCTTCTCCTGAGCACTCAGCACCTGCTTACTCACCAGAACCAGTACTGATTCACTCCCCTGTGGGTTACACCATCAGCCCATCACCTACATGTGAGAAAATAGTTTCTTCAATTGAACCTGAAGACTCACCATCCTCCCCTGTATTACCTGAAATCAATGAAACCTGCTCTTCCCGTGAGCACTCAGCACCTGCTCACTCACCAGAACCAGTACTGATTCACTCCCCTGTGGGTTACACCATCAGCCCATCACCTACATATGAGAAAATTGTTTCTTCAATTGAACCTGAAGACTCACCATCCTCCCCTGTATCCCCTGAGATCAACGAAACCTGGTCTTCTCCTGAGCACTCAGCACCTGCTCACTCACAAGAGCCAGTACTGATTCACTTCCCTGTGGGTTATACCATCAGCCTATCACCTACATATGAGAAAATTGTTTCTTCAATTGAACCTGAAGACTCACCATCCTCCCCTGTAGTCACAAGGATTGATTACAGTGATATCTGCTCCTCTCCTGATCACTCCGTTCCAGCTCAATCACCAGAACCTGAAATAATTCACTCACTGATGGGTTATACCATCAGCCCATCACCTACAAATAAGAGAAGATTTTTTTTAGTAAAACCTGATGACCTACCATCCTCCCCTGCCATCACAGGAACTGATTACACAGCAACACCAACATGCAGTAGAGATTCCACACCTGTGTTAAGGAGCATTACATCCACTCCAAACAGCAGAGAAAATTTCCTTACAGCAGAGCCCAATTGCCCAGCCCCTTCACTGGAATTGAGATCAGTCACCTGCTCACCTGAAATCAAAACAATATCATATAGTGTTCTGCCACAAAATACAAAATCCCCTGGCATCACATATAGCGTTACACCAACCGAAGATTTAGCACAATCACCTGCAGTAGAGACAAATGTCTGTGGCAACTCCTCTGAAACTTCCAACCATCTTTTTGGAAATGACACCTCTGTCTCACCTAGCTCAAGGAACTTTTTGTCAACACCAGAAAGTAGATCAAGGCCCTCATCAGCTGCATCAGACCATACCAAACACACAGCACAATCCCCTGATCTCCAACCTGAGCCTTCCATCACTCTTGAAAAGGCAGAAAATCAGACTTTATCCATAATCTGTGATGGAATTAATCATCCTTTCTCTAACCCAATAGACTGTTTTAATTGTTTTGATGACCTTGCTGACACAAAGACTCCCAAAAGCATTGCATCTGTCCCAGACGAATGCAAAGGCAGTGGACCACCAGTTCTTAGCCAAATGCAGATCTTACAATTTTCAACCTCTGAAACCACAGATTCTGGATCGTCCACAGTAAAAATTGAGGAAAATCAAGAAATTGTCACTGATTACACAACTGATTTAACTGTCTGTGGAACACCAACTTCCACAAGTCCATGGGCTGCATCTGTGCCGAAGCCAATGGCATCTTTAGAGAAGAAACAATGCCATGTTGAGGTTTTTGATAGCAGCATGGGAACGGAAATGTTGAAAAATGATTCCCCAAACAGTAACAAGAGGCTTAGTCAAGTGCCTGTAGCATTAAGAGATAGCCCAGGGGTTATCAGTAGGGACAATGGTGGTGAATTTGACAGGCAGCCATGCACGGAAAAGAAGGAGGGAGAGGGGGAGGAGACTATGGGAAAGAGTAGTTACAGAGGGGAACAGGTTGAGCTGTCATTCAGGGCCAGGAATAGAAAAGGGCCTGCAGGCCACAGCCCAGCTCTCTCAAGTCAAGACCCAAAGTCAGGAATTCCAGCTCGCTGTTATTTTGAGTCGCACCCAACAACTCTGCAGCAACAGAATCAGCTCAGAGCTCAGGACTCACAACAAGAGAACAAGGTTGGCACCAGGAGGCTCCAGTCAGCTGCCCAGGGTAAATACAGCAGTGCAGGCTTTCTTCCTCCTGAATGTACTGGTGAGACCTCCAGCATGGGAAGTGAATTTGATGAAGCAGACAATGAAGTAAAGTGGTTTACAGATCTGGCCTTCAGAAGCCTATCTAGCCCTCAGGTGGATTATTTGGATGTGTACAATTCAAGCCACAGGTCATCTACAAATGTTTCACAGACATCGACCGTAGACAGCCCTGGTGCTGTTGCATGGATGACATACGCAGACTTACATGGCTCAGCGTTACCTGAAAACGATGGCTCATCTTTTCTTCTCCGTGATGGCCTGGACCCAAACAAACACTTCGAAATAGGGAGTTTTGAGTGTGTGGACATTGCATTAGAGAGCAAGGAAGAGTCCAGTAGAGGAAAGAGGACAGTACCTAAAAGGCAGATCCAGCTGTTAAGGCGGAACACAGATGAATCAAAATATAAAGGAAACACTGAAAATATTTTGAATTCACCCTCCACACATAGATGCTCAAAAGACACACTTGTTCGTCAACATAGCACACCAGCATTTGTGCAAATGGAAGTTTCCAATGAGGTGCCAGATTCACCACAAAATGACAGGAAAAAGACACTGCAGAAGTCTGTGTCTTTAGATGATGGCTCCCCTAAGACACAAATGGCGTCTTGCATTATCAAGAGTGTGTTGTCAAAGAAAATGCAGGATGTGCAGAAAGAGACACCAAAAAGTACAGATCCAGGTCGATCTGCAGATAAAAACAAACATCCTGATGTCAGCCCCAGCTCTTTTGATGGTGTACCAAGTACCATGGAGAAACATAGTTTAAGCTCTAGCCTGCATTCTCAATGTACTCTTTCATCTGAAGATTTTGCTGTCGGAGAGGAGAGAATTTCAAATCGTCAGCTGAAGAAGTGTGCTCCAAAAGTTCCTCCAAAGCCATTCTTAAGACCTGCATTCTTTAACACTGGGGAAGCTCAGGTAGCTGACAACATTACAAGGGAGGAAGCAAAGCCTATGTTGGCCCCTCCACAAGTTGATGACAAAATGCAAAACTGCAAGAGTGATGGGAAAGAGGGTGGAGGTAGCAACCTTGAAGAGAAGTACAATAGTGACTCAGCAAATCCCAGTATCAGGAATACAAGTCCTGCTGTTGCTACACCAGTAATTAGCATGCCAAGCAGAATGACAAGCCGAGACATAAAAAAGCGCCAGATGACACCAGAAAACCAGGAACAGCTGGCTGGAAAGAGTGTGTTTATGTCAAAAACCCCAGAAATAACTTTGAAACCTTCTTCTATCAAAGGAAAAAAGACATCATCTCTGAAAGTGTCTCTGTCCCCTGACTTGGAACAGTCCAGAGAAATGTCTGAATCTCAGACAATGGAGAAAGCTACAGATATAAGCACCAGATCTACCAAAGTCACAGAGACAAAAGACAATGATGACAGCAACAAAAAATCTGTTATACATAGAGTTAGGGATGTGAGGAAGTTGGTAAAAAACACATACAACCTGTCTTTCAAAGCATCAAATTCAACCTCTACTGCAGAAGACATGGTCATTCAAGAGAAAAGAGAGAAGCCGCCACAAACTCCTCCAGCCTTGCAAATTGAATGTAAAGCCATCAGTTGGAAGGACAAACAAACATCAGGCAGCAAAGCAATCCACTATCATGGTGAAAAACAACCTGTTGACATATCAAAAATATCACAACCATGGGTGTGCACAGAGACAAGAAGAGATGCTGACATCACTGAAATAACATCCAAAGTCTCTTCACCAAAGACGGAGTCACAACATAAATTGCCATATCCTAACTCTACAACCACAGATGGATTACCTGAATCAGAAAGTATCACTAAGAAATCTTACATTCACTGTGATCAGAGTTCTAAGATGCCCCCTAGACCCCCGAGTAAGGAGCGAGAAGTTTCTGCATTGGTGGTTCTTCCAGATTGCACATCCAAGACAAAGACCATTGCCCCAACAGTCCTTAACTCTACTCAAACGAAAGCTGCAAGCAGCAGCCACTCTGTATCCATGCTACTGAAAGAAAAAGGGATGCAGGCTGATATTGGAGTGTGTGATGTTCTCACTGAAGGTGCAAGAGCTACAGCTAAACATGTCAACAGGCTTGAGGTACCTGTACAGGCCTGTTTATCAGAAAGCATTTCAAGTGAAGGACAAGTAAAGGCAGAAAATACATCATTGCCTTGCAATCCAACAGCTCTTGTGAACGATTCATCAAGAACATCTCTACCAAGTGAGAGTCCCAAGGGAACACTGACAGAAGAATCTTCAACAAAGGAACAAGAAAAAAAGAAAATTACTGCCACCACAACTATGACACAAATTCCAACTTATTTAGCAACATCTGACAAGCCAGAGGTGAGGTCTTTTTCAAGTAGTACAAAAAATAATGCCACACCAGTGAATGCATCAAAAGAGATTGAGTTACCCATACAAGTGAGGTCAATATCCACTGATAGACTAAAGCCGTTTGTACCACCAAAATCCAGCTATAAACAGTCATTTGCAGAAATTACGTCAGTGTCAAGTGACCCATCAAAAGCAGATACTCAAGCATCATCTGTTATTAAACAGCAAACCATGTTAAATAGTGAATCAAAGAAAAATGAAACACCATTAACAGTAATACACAAGGATCAACCAAACAAGACTTCATCAAGAGATACAAAAAGACTGGCTGTATCAGCTGTATCAAGCTACAAACAACCATCCATCCCAGTCACAACAACTCCAAGTGTTGTGCAAAAATCCACCACAAAGACATTGGCCAGTCTGGATCAACAGCAATCTTCTGCTTTCTTGCAAACAACAAGCACTTGCCAGCAGCGAAACCCATCATTCACTCAAGACCAGTCAATGCTAGATAGTTCCTTTGCTTCTAACCCATCAGGACCACAAGCCCTTGGCCACACAGGATCTGTGACGAGAGCATCATCTAATAATCGTTTTCACACAGATGATTATCTTTTCTATGCTTCAGATGATCCTCCCAGCTATGATGAGCGAGAGAGTTTCAGCCCACTACGGTTATCATATGACTTACCCCCCCATAGGTCATGCCGGTATCATCCAACCACAAAGCAATCTTCTTGCACCTGTACACCAAGTTCTCATTTACATCAAGGACACCCCCACCACAGTCCACAAGAACAGGTACCAGCAGCTTCTAGGTCTCCAGGCCAAGTCCTTACCTGTCCCAGAGCTCCTCCGCAAGCTCAAGTTCGTCCTCATCAGTGCAGACCAGATGGTCTGCCAGTCTCCAATACCACAATACCCCATGCCTCAGCTTTGGTTCAGCCTCTACACAACCCACGAGCTTGTCCTGTTTCAAACTCACAATCCTATGGTGATGACCAACCACCAACTTCTGGGTTGCATGCAGATAGACGCCCAGCTAATCATCCTTCACCTCAAGCAGCAGGTCCTGCTCCCTATCATGAGTATTCTCATTCAGCTAACATGTCTACTGTGGATCCTAGGCCTCAGTTGTTCAATCCCCAAGATTTGCCACCATCTTTTGGCAATGATTATGCAAATGAAGGTCCAGGTGGAGCTGGCGTATTGTATCCAGAGAATGTGAGTGGGCTCAACTGTGGCCAAGGTTCTCGTCGTGTCCTTCTTGATCCTGAGACTGGTAAATACTTCTACATTGAGGTACCAATGCAACCACTCAGAAAAATGCTGTTTGACCCTGAATTGGGCCAGTATGTGGAAGTTATCATACCACAGCAGGCAATGTCCCATTCGGGGCTGTATCCACCAGCTGCACCACCCTACTCCTCTTTGCATAGTCCTGGGTTGTATGCACCACAGTACCTGCCTTATGCAGTGCCATCTTACCCAGCAATCTCAGGTAGTGCCCAGCAAGTTCGCCATCTGGAGCCACCTCCTGTCCCCACCACACTTCACCAGACTTCCTTAAGGTATGGAAGTCCTTCAAGCCAGATGCCAAAAAATGAACCAAAAGGTAATTTATCACTGGATCAAAGTTATCTAGAGAGCATGTATTACATCCCCACTGGGATGAATGCAAGCCCAAATTCAACCACTTCAGACTGCTACCACAAGCCATCAAGCATGCCTCCTTCAGGGGGAAGAAGAGCATGAAACGGCAGTGGATACATGTGGCCTGTTTACATTTGAAATCTGTTCTAGTTGGCAGCGTCTTTAATTTAAGTGGGATATAAAACGTCAAAATGTCTAGTCAAAAGATGTAGCTTCTCAGTTATAAGTCTAAGATTGAAACAATGTTGTTTCTGCTCATTTTATTTAAACAATGTGAAAGACAATGTGTTAACTACTCAAAAAGACCCAAAACAGTTTTGCTTTCTTTCTGCTGTTTTTCTGACATTTGACATATTACAGTTGTCACTTTCTGATATAATTTCAGTGTATCATTTGGACAAGTCCTTCACTTTCCTTGCATAGGCCAAGCTTATGCAATGGTAGGCCTTATCTTGCAATAGCTATCAGGGTTTAACAAACCATGTCTTCCTTGAACACCCTTAATAGTTATATATTTCTGAAATTATTTATTTTGATTCAATAGTGTGTTTGGCGTTTTCACTTCTAAGTGACATTATTTATCAAATACATGACATACGTAATATGAGATGATGCAATTGCTTTGTGCAACACCTTTGATGTGCACTGGGACATGCAAGTAGATGCTGTACATTTGGGTAAAAGAAAAGAATGTGGATGAGCAAGATCCACCAGTTCATTCATTGGTATTAAAATCACAGACATATTTTCTACCATCAGAGGATTGCCATTTGCTATTTTTTACACATGGATACATCCCATTAAAGATAACTGTTTACAGAATCCAAGTCTTAGTGTTTTTTTTCCTCATTGAATGTTAGCTGCAACATATGATCGATTTCAGTAACCTTAAAGCTAAAAGCAGTATATTTTAACTTCTGTAAATACTGCTATAAATATATTATCACATATTAAAAAATCATGCCTACCACATATCTTTATTTGTCACATTTTGTGCAATATTATTAAGCCCAGAGGTAAAAGAAGAGTTCCCATTTTGGTAAATCACATGGTATCCAGTTTGGGAGAATCACATTTGCTAGCCACATCAAAATAGAAGCTGACCCACTTAAGAGTTTAGGCCACTACTGGGCTGTCATTTTATCTCTGGATGACATCTAGTGGACAAGGTCTAACATCCTTGTCCATCTGTCTAATGCTTTCTTTTAAGGATGTGAATGAGTGTGATGTGATAAGCTATTTGTAATAGAAAGAAACAAATACTGGCCTACTGCAATAGCCATTCTAATAAGTTATTATTCAGTTAGATCTATTTGTAAATAGATAATATGGCCATCATTCTGTTAGCTGAATGATACAAGCAGCGCATGTTTTGACTGGTGTGAACTATTCTGGGTGTTTCTCTTATTTGGGTGTTCAACATGGCTGATATGACATAATGGACCACCATGGTCTTAGCTGTGACGTTCTGTGGAAATGTTTCCACTTATGCGGGCAAACCGTTAAGTCTTTCTACTCCCAAATTGCAGCCGCACCCATAAATGACTGAATTTGATTTTCTGACCTGTCTGATCATACTGTAAGAAAGGCTGAAGGAAGTGTCTGTGTGGTCAGACAGTTTTGTGGGGGAGAGGGCCTTGACTGTTTGTTGGGTGTTTGACCAAAAACACAAAGATATTCAAGTCTGCCCATGACTTCATTCAGGATCCCCTGAGCAGACTGCCAAGCGGAGTAGTGTGGAAATTAAAACAAGAGTGTCTGGGCAAGTACTAATCTTTACCATAAACATGTCTTTATGTGCTGTTCTATGATGAGTCAGATTAAGGACTTATACATGCAACAACTTAAATATACAAACCATTTCACATTACATAGGGGCTAATGTTGAACATATGGCCATTCATTATCTTCCTGAAGGTTTGTGTGTGATAATGACTGGCTGATTGTAAATCAGGGTTGGGCAAAATTTAGAATTGCATTGGATTTACTTTCAAACCATTTTTACTCAGAAATTGCTAGTAAATTTTACAATTACAAATAAATGACAAGTCACATTGAATTAAAAGTGAAATTTTGTAATAGTAGTAGTTATAGTATTTTCTTGTAAAATGTACTACAATTTATTCACAACTAATAATTTTTACTGTATAATCCTGTGGTGTATTTGCTCAAATTTAAGTAGGAAATCTTTATTCCATATATAAAAATTAATGTTTCTAAATTAAGTTCCGACAGAAATAAAGGTCTAAATTCCACCCAGGTAAGATTAAGGATTAAGCCTTAACCTTTAACCCTTATCACAGCTGACCCCTTCAGCATGGCTCTTAACCTCAGGTTGCTGCAGACAGGGGTGTCCCTTACATTTTTGTAGTGTTAGTCGCCTTGTATTTTTTTCTGACAAAATAACTTAAAGGAAGCAGCACCTTAGAGGAGTTTAGTTGCCCTTGTGAGGTGAGTAAATGCTATTGCTACATAATAGCTCATTACTCACATACTCATAAACAGCAGAAATGTTAACTTTGTCATGTACCTTGTTCTGCTTTGAAGGACAGACCATATATGGGCGCATTCCAGGGATGACAACAGCAAGAGGCGCAGGCATGAATGAACTTGCCTGCAGGATGAATGACCTCTGAGCACATGCAGGATGATGGATCAGGTACGCAGGTTAGATTAGGAAACGTATTTCCGCAGCCTTTCCGGTCGAGTCATGTCACATATAGCAACAACTGAACCAAACAATGCTTCTGTCTGCAGGCCAAAACCCAACAGAGGGCGGATAATAGACTATTTGCTGAGGTACCAGCAGGTGGAGCAGTCACACCCACAAACATACACAACTGAGAGAAGTTCCTTCACCTGCTTATATTTCACTGAAGAACCATTTTATTGCATCAGGCATTTTTTAAATTCCCGTTTGCAGACATTGACTTAATGACCACAGTCGCATACACAGTGGCCCCATTAAGTATTTGGACATGTAAGTCACACTTAAAAGGTCCGAATTTCATTGCATTTGCATTTTATTTTACTTTTCTACTCCTGGAGAGCTACCGTCCTGCAGACTTCAGTTCCAACCCTGCTTCAACACACCTGCCTGTAAATTTCAAGTAACCCTGAAGACCTTCATTAGCTGTGTTTGATTGGGGTTGGAGCTGACATCTGCAGGACGGTAGCTCTCCAGGAGCAGAGTTGGAGACCCCTGGTTTATAATATTAACATGTTTCACAACATTTGACAACCAGAATGTGTTCAAGACTTTCACCAATTTGAACAATATATTTATTGTTTCACATTTTATGACAAAATAAACCTTGTTTGCTTTTTTTCTTTTTTGTCAATCATATAATGCAAATACATTTTAACTGTGGTACATTTGTGTCCAAATAAACTTTTTGGGGCTACTATATTTCTTCAAATACACGAGGCATCTGTGAAATAAAGTATGAATAAAATATTTTGTCATATAATACATTTGCATCTATTAAATAGAATAAAAGAAAAAAAATTATTAAATGGGAAAAAATGTAAATCAAACAGTGTAATAACTTAAAGTTCTGACTGATTTACTCTAAACAGATTTACTTTCCCTTTCCTGGAGAACATTCGGAGCATATTTTGAATGTTACTGGATTATGTAAGTGCTCAAGCACTTCTTTCAGTATATCTTTTCCGCAGGACACTGGAGTCTCAATGAGGCCTGAAACTTGAAGGATGGAAGGAATTCGCAGTGAGACGTCGCCCCCAGTGAGCCTCTGTGTGTGTTGAGAGAATAAAACCATCAAACCATCAACAATTACAGTACAAAGGTGAGGGGAAATTAAGCTACTGTATATGTGTGTCATGGCAACACGATAGGGACAGGCACATATTTTCCTTAATTCCATTGTAAAACTCAAATGAAATGAAAGGGAAATGGCTTATGAAGCAGGAGGCTTTAATCATTCAGTGTTTGTAACATCCATATGTAAAAAGTGAAACAGATGAGGGGAGTCCCCTTCCCGGAATGGCTGAGGGATCAAATCCACTCTGGATTTCACATTATTGGATTTTGTTAGATATTAAATGAAAACACAAGGCTAGACTGACGTTATAGTTCCAGAAAGATTGCAGAACAGGAGACTAGACACAAAAAATAGGCCAGTGTGTCACATTGACGGCGACTTAGGGGTAAAAATATGTCTCCCTTTTACTTCTGGATCAGTCCAAAATACTGACTTCATCTATGATATCACCCTTTCTCAAGAACTATGATGTGTCACATCCCCAGTTGTATGTTTTACAAATACAAATGAGGATGTCTGGATAGAGTAGTATTACAGTAGTTTGTATTAGTGTCTGATCATGACCATATGTCGGTGAGCATATGCAGTGCTTCAGAATTGCTGTAGTTGTGATTTCATTGCCTTATGATGACATGTTTCACCGCTAGTTATTCATAGAGACACCCACGATTGGTTTCTACTACAAAACCCTTATCAGTAGGGAGCCGATAATCTCGGAAAGCATGAGAGACACATTTCTTTTTGGTATCTCTTCCTACGTCCTGCAATAATAAACTGCTTTTTGTTGATGCCCACTCCCTCACTTTGATGTCGGTATGGCATTTGATCAACACGGCCGCAAGGAATGCTGGGAAGGCTTTGAGATTCTGTGGTGACACCATAAAACAACACAAAGGCATGTGAGAAATTTAAAGTCAAATGCTTGAGCTGAAAGTGAAGGTGATGACATGCTGCATTGTGACTGATTATTCTGAAAGTCTAATTTTGAGGATGACAGATTGAAAAGGAAAGCGATCAGTACATAAACTTTTGACATATAATAGGAAACAGAAAAAGAGTGTGGTGATAGCCAATCAGCGTAGGCGATGCTCTTGGAGTGATGACACACAACACTGAGAATTCCGGTGACGTGACAGCATTTACAGTGAGATCAACACACTTTGAACACATCCCTTGTTATTGTCAGGGAAATATGCTTTTTGTTTTCTTTTCCTGTTTCTATTATTTGGCTTTGGCTTCTTCCCTCTCGCGCTCTCTCCTTATCACGTCCACACATATGTTGATCTTACAAATAACTTCGTTATCACCTTAAAGCACTTTCTAATTTCTGCCGATATTGCACTGCTTACTCAGTTAGTCAGTATGGCGCCGTTAGTGATGAAAGTCCAAGTGCCATGTTAAACAATTGGAAAATTAATGACATTTATTACCAGACCAGAGATGCATCAAACCAATCACGTCACATTAATCACGCCACACAAATTGATGCATCCTGATTTGCATCTGTGCTGAAATTAAAAGATTACATTTTTTATTTCAGTTTTTTCTTTTATAGCCCCACACTGTAAATTGAAGTGATTACAAAAAAAGAGTGCGAAATGTTACATTAAAAACATGTTAGTTGGTTAACTGTTAGTTATCTTTCCATATATGGTGAAAACATGTTAACTGTAAGTTACCTTGCCGTATATGGAAAACTAAAAATATTTCAAGATTGCATTATATGTAATGTTATTGTAAAATACTGTCAAATGTATGCTTTTTGGAAGCATTCACTATTGCCATGTAATTTATGGTTAAAAATAAAGGACATTCACAGAATTTCCTGTATGACACATCGCATATGATTATATTCTATTTAAATACTTTTGTTTCTGATTATTTCTCTTATGGGTAATATACATTAGGGTGGTTTGTGTTACATTTTCTGTTTTTTAGTTCAAGTTTATTGTTATTTTAGTGTCATGTGTGTTACCCAAATGGTGTTTTATGTTTATGACCCCTGTGCACCAACTGTAAGTATGTTTTATGG